CCCCATGAATTCGACTCTCGAGTGGAGAATTCTACAGCAGAGAGAGCACCTCCGTCTTTCTGACTGGATGATGTGTCCTGCCAAGCCCGGATGTCCCTCACCAACAGGGTCGAAGGATCCAGAATGAACAAAGTTGTGCCGATGTTGTCCTTATACAGTTGTGTCACGACACAGTGGAATTAGGCGCTCGTCAATTTGGGGCTTATAAAAATATTAGTATCACATCAAAGCTTTTCGTTTGTCTTTCTTTCGATGAAATGAATACCAGTCTATTTTGAGTGGACGTCGAGATATTTGCTTTAAAAGAGTTGGAGTTCGTCTGGATTCAGAGGTAAAATTAGCGAGGCAATGGTATTTTCCAAAGCTTGAGTGCCCTTGGAAACAGTAAGTTTACATTTTTACGCCATTGGTTATCATTTTTCAGTAAAGCCCAATTGCAAACTGATTTTCAATGGATATAAAATGTGTTGAACTAAAATAAAAGACAACTCTAATGATAATTGCCCAACGGGCTAAGAAAAATATTGGTTTCTTCGATTTCATAATTTTGACGAACACCCGATTTCACCACGGTGCCATTTATTTGCAGTTATTAAATATCAGGTGTAAGCTTTAGGCATAATGAGAAATTGAACGAAGTTGGCATTAGTAGAGGTGACTGCAAACCTCTTCCACAAACTTTCTTAGTATTAATATTTTACCTCCGTTAACGCGATGTCAGAATGATTGCGTTTTTTTACATTTAAAAACACCAAATATAAATCAACTGCTTCTGCAGGGACCAGAATGTGTGCCAGTCACTTCAAACATTACTTGCTGAGTAATCATACAAAGGGTGGTGGTAAATTATTTTTATGCTGGTTTCCTGCATTGCCCGGGTAGGTCAGCGTGCGTGTGTGTGCACAGACAACAGCTCCCCACATTACAACAGGATCTGAAGCTATAGATAAGGCGCCATTTCACCTCGGTCTACTTTGAACAGCGACTGGGATTTTGACTACTGATTCCGTATGCACTTTTATGACAAGAAGACAAGGTAAGTCTGTATTTGGACCGTGCCACTGGTCGATCTTATTTCTTTTCTTTCCCTCGGTTGCTTCTCGCTGTCAGCCTTACTTTAAGTCTATATCGTTCTATACAGTCATCATTGTGTTAATAGGCTTCTCTTAACCCTATGTATCTCAATTTAAATCGCTACGGTAAATCTGCCGTTGAGGGTTTCGATTGCTGTCTCAACGGCCGAATTTTTCGCTTTGTTGTTCTGTTGGCTAGAAGAATGAATGAATGGAGGGCTGGATGGGTGGATGGATGGATGGATGGATGGATGGATGCATGGATGGATGGATGGATGGATGCATGGATGCGTGGATTAGGAATTTTTGTGCTAATGAATCTCCCCCTATCTGTGTCTGTTCCTGGACCAGCCTTTTCGCTCTTCAGATGACGGGCCGTTGCTTGCCGATAAAATCCAGGTCTTTAAGTTGCACATTTTGATGAGTGATGATTAACTTGTGCCATTCAGTCTGAGTGGTTAAAGTCAGTGTTTCCTGGGGAAACGCGTTAATTGTATCGTCTTCCACTTCTACTAAACATATTAGAAGGCTTGCTTTTTTATTTTATCTTTGGTGTTGGTTATTTAAGCTGTTTGTCATGCTCGTAAAAGATATTAGTTCGATCACAAGGTGGGGAAGTTCATCAAATCAAGTATTCGCGACTTTCTGCTTGACAGCAGTATCACAAACAGCACAAATTGAACCTGCCCGTTGCAAAAATACTTTCTAAACTGCAGAAAATGGCATAAAACATTGTCAATCTTTGTTTTGTAATCAGTATTTGGTCCTCTCTTTTTTTTTAAATTTAGTTTGGTTATCACTTATTTGGTCATTCTTTCTTATTTCTTCATTGTGGATTGATCGTATCAATATTATCTTTTAATATAATATAAGTGTGTTCATAGTGTTGTCTTCAGTTCTTCGAAAAATGGCTTCTATCTAAGACAAGATTTGTAATGATAAAGATGGGAAAGGGGGGAGGGGGAAGTATGTGCCTCGACTTTCAGAATGCAATAGAAGCTGCTCAATCGGCCATCTGTCCAAGACAATCACGTGCAGCTGTACAAACGAGCACTTCCTACTTTATCCTTACGTTTTTTCTACACTATAATGACACTGTCCGAGACGTACTCTTCTTTCAGACAACCACTTTTTCCCTTTGCAATGGGTAGCCATCTTGGACACAATAGACAGTACCTGTGGTTAGTCCAGCTGGATGATCTGCGTCTACGTTATACTGGTGTTCGGCACTTCTCCATCATACCTAATTCTACCAAAGTTTTGAGAAAATAGTATGATATCGAAACGGGTATCAAATCCATTCCAAACCGAACCACAAAGCTCAAACATATTATTTCTCATTTTCATAATAGCATTTTTTAATTTAAATTTAGGATTCATAGAAGAGTGGAGATGCCTGTGCTTGTGATTAACTTATTAAGGATAGAGCGGACACATATTCGAACAGTAAACAAATGAAAGACACAATTATTGCGACACATTTCGAACCATCATACAAAAATCAGAAACATGAAATTACATACAATGTATAGTGTGCATGTCCTCGCCTGCTTTTATGAAACAGAAAAGACAAAAACACTATAAAATCATTATTGGTAACGGGGTTATGCCGCTTGTTTTGTTTGTTGTTTTTCTTTAATTAAGTTCCCCAAAAGACTGCTTCCATCAAGCGTTGCCAAATGACCAGTTTGCACGCCCTCAATGAGTTAAAGATTAGTTTTTCGCCTTGTATGACTTGTAAAGTAATATAAAAAAAGGTTGGTTGTGTACTGTGTTACGATATGGTGGAATCAGCCGCTTCTAACTTTTTGGAGCATATAGAGGTTAACGCACATATATTTGTCTTGTTTTTTATGAAAAAATCCACCAGTCTTAAAAAGAAGTCGACATACTTGCGATTGAAGGAGGCAGAGGTTGCCTGGTTACAGAGGTTACATTGTTGAGAAAATGGCCCTTACTCCAAATATTGGTGACTTTCAAAGCTTGAGTGTCCCCTTCAAAAAAAAAGATAATAATAATAGTAATAATAATAATAATAATAATAATAATAATAATAATAATAATAATAATACAACACAAAAAATCCATAATTCATTGCCAAACTCCGGTGGAAACATGTCAGTTTTGTCGATATCATTATTTTGACGAGCCCTTGATTTCACCACAATGTCACTCAATTATACTATTATTTCTGTTCAATCGCCCCCCCCCCCCCCCCACGCGCGTAACATACTTTACTGCGTAGTATCTCTCTTTTCGTAAGTGCGATGCTGTATACGACACATGCTGTCTTTGCCTAACCAGTGAGCCTTATAAATGGAATAAATTATACAGCTCAGATGGGAAGCACGACATTTATAACCACCATCAACAACTATTTTATTTCATTCATTGACCGATGATAGAGTAAGGAACAGTGATGAATCAGTATCAGATGAGCGTAAAAGTCATGGGAAGCCACACTGAAAGAGCTGTTCGTTCACTCAAGGGGTTATATTAGGTGATCTATGTACAGTAGGAAACCTAACCTAAGTCTAGATAATAAATTAGACGTATGGAATGCCTTGATCCGCCTTTAAGGACAAGCCCGGGCTGAGAGGGACAGACAATTTCAGCAGGCAGACGGAGACACCTATATAAACACCCCATTACTCTGGAACCTGTAGACACACTTAGGAGGAAGTCAAAACCAGAACAATTTTTTATTGCCCCCAACTTAGTGAGGTATTACAATTCTGGCTTGCGTTTTAGGTTAAGAAAGAGATTTCTTCGGTGATTTCAGTGCAGAACAGTTTGGACAGCTTGAAGACGGTAAGGGGTGAATTAGGGATCAGTGGATTTCAGAATGACCGTTTGAACACAGGTTACTTCACATTGAGCTTTGTAAGCAGTGTGAGAAATCAATCCGGGCCGAGGACAAAACCTCATAGTCACATTTCCAGATTAAAAAGAAAGGGTAAGCTCATTACACACTGCTTTGACCGTCTCTTCCTTTTGCAACCAAAAAAATAAAAAGCGCCTGGTTCCGTTTTTCAGCGTTTGAGGATAAACTATTGATACTGTGCAGTTTAAAATAATATGCAATAATTTTTGGTTGCTTTTTTTTTTTTACATCGATAGCGGTCTTCGAACATTTTTCGACGTTTTATTAGATTTATGTGCACTCTGGTAAATTTACAAAGCCACTCACTGGGTGCATCGGTAGCTCAGTAAGGTATCATACTGGACTGACGGGGCAGACTCTCGACCCCACCCCCAAGAAAAAGAAAAACAAAAACCAGGGCAGTGCTACTGACCGAATTGTCTTTAGACCAGTCTCGTACAACGAAGTTTTATCTGTAGGCTACTCTCAAACTTTGAACACACCGCCTGCACCGAACGACGGCTTTTTCTTTGATGTGACTCCGTTCTCTTTCCATCAGTATTTAATGTTTCTATTTCCTGGTCTTGCTGAGCAATAAAGACCATACTCCATCTTGCTCAGAACGAAAATCATTTCTTGACCAAGACTCATTTGGTCAGGGTGTTGTAAAATAAATAAATAAATACATATAAATAAAAATGATTATATGCGAATACAAATATCGGGCTTCTAGAGAATTGTCGACAAGAAAATCGTCTTTCTGAAGATTTTAGATCGAAGGATTGTCAATAATAGGTTCGCCTTTCGAGGATGCGCCCGACTGATTCAGATGATCGCAGTTCGAATACCCTACGGGCTGCTCTTGAGCCGGGGTTGTTTGGGATGTTTTCTGAGGTCTCTACCCCCTTAAGCACGGTCCTATCGGAACTGGACATTACGGTTGACACCACCAACGTTTAAATAATATGACAACGTTGAAAAAGGGCACTGCGAAACTTTTATCGTAAAACTTCCTAAGGCAAAAAAACAACAACAACCCAACAAACAGATAGTGAATTTAGCCAACGTTTCAAATTACTCATTGCCTGTCTGCTTATCAGTTTTCATTCATCGAAAGATAATATACCAAGCAGTGATTTCATAACAACAGAAACCGTAAAAAAAAAAAAATTATTTTAAAAGTATACTGCGTTTTTGTACTCCTTGACAAAATACACTATCACAAGGAGTTTTAAAACATCATGCGCAAGCGAAAGATACGAAAAGAATATTCATTTTCCTTGTCTTTCACCTACCTCGACTCCACGTCCCCAATACCACAACTTTTCATTATTTATCAGAAAGTTGTATCCTGGCTGATTGTTTCCTGTAAATCAAATGTCTCTTGCTTTACCAACCTCTTTAGTTTATTTCTTAGAGTTTAGTCTTTCTTTCCTTCTAAATCACTGCTATGGCGTCAACTTGCTTCGCTTTCCCAAACTCTTTTCTTTTAAACAGAAACACCTGATTAAAAAACAACAACAACTAAACACCAGCCCCCCCCCCAAAAAAAAAGAATACATTCAGTAACCTGAAGATAGTATAATGACAGAATATGTTAACGACACAGCTGCCCCCCCCCCCCCCCCCCCACACACACACACCTTATTTTTCTCCTAAATCCCTTTGTCACCTCCAGCTTACCGTTGTTTCAGTATCCGTTGAGAGATCAGTGACCAACAGCCGTGATAACGTTATAAAATGATAATATATCCTAGGTTACGACTACTACTTTATTTCAGAGATTCATTTCGTGTTGTCTTTCCAGTGCTTGTAATCATGACACCGCTAGAAATGTGTTGTCACGAAGCATTAAGACGCACTCTAGCACCAGAGCTCACACTGTGCATTGCAGTTATCATTTCAAATCAGGTTCATTGACATTCATGATATCGCAGTCGAGTATGATACCAACTGAGCTTGAGCTATCTGCGCACCAACTCTCTAGGTACAAACATTGGAATGGCGACGTCTTGCAACACGCATTGCGTTGGGACGTAATTCTAAAACCTAGAAAATCATCATCATCATCATCATCATCATCATCATCATCATCATCATCATCATCATCATCATCATCATCATCATCATCATCATTACGGCGCACTGTTGGCTCACTTTGTATCAAGCTGGAGTACAGAGAAGATGGTCCTGTTTCGAATCCTTCATGGGACGTTCCGAATTTGCGTTGTTTTTGGGAGTTTAAAAGGCTTTCCATCTATTTAATCGATCTTATCGGAGACGGTTGTTACATTCTTAGGTCCTGTCTCGTACACAATTTTGCACTGTTAAAAGGGACGTTAAAACTGTACAATTTTACAAATTAGAGAAGAAGAGAAAAAGACAGAAAGAAGAAGAAGAAGAAGAATTCTGTGGTCGCAGCTTAAGAACACTTGGCTTATGAACCTGTAACCGGAAGCACCCTCTTTTACTGGGTAACATTTTTTGTTTTGCTTATAAACTTGCATGCCAGCGCTACCTGGAAGTATTCATATTCATCAGCTGTTATCTTCAGTCGCGGTCCATTGTGACCTCTTGTCGGCGGTTTGGTTATCTAAATTAATTTCTTGGTTATCCTAGTTCTGTTTTTCTCTAGCTACCTCGACCTCGCCTATTTATCGTCGGCTGTACAAATGTCTGCGGTGGAAAAATTAAGCACGGCGTCTGTGGTGTATCGGTTAGACTCTTCGCCATCGTGCGCAGAAGACCCCATTTTGATTCCAGAGTAGGGAGAATTTTTATGGAGCCTCGGTCTTTCTGTTGGAATGTTTTATCCCTCCAGCTTGGATAAACCCTGAGAGGGAGGGTCAACGTCCACCTCTTAAATTATAATCCTAGCTTTTGTCGATTGGGAGGGCGTAAAAACACATATATTTTAAAAAAAGATTCGGATTAGGTCCTAGCCATTGCACACAACAAGAAGTAAATTCGATTGTCAAGAGATCTCCTAACTGCAAGACAATTTGCTTGTAATTTAATTTATTGCTGTTCTTTGCTGGTTCCTTTTAAGGTATACGCACTTTGATTAAAGGCAGCTATCTTAGGAAGGCCCCAAAATAATGCATAAGAAGGTTTAAACAAAAAACCCTCAATGTCCCGGATGTGGTTGATGTTATAGACCTGCTAAGTAACTGATTTTTTGGGGGGAACCCCTTTCTTTTTCACACTTTATGTAATTAAATGTGCTTTAAGTGCCCCCGTCCCTTTTTTTAAAGTGAAGGCTTTACAAATGCGTTATTGTAATTGTGTTTTTAAATTTTGTTTTCGTTTCTGTTTTCCTCATGATCTTCCCAGACATTTATGATAATTGGTATTATGGAAGTAGCTCAGCTGCAATGAAATATTCCAGCAGTTTTGTTGTTTTGATTAGTATTAGTTTGGTAACAGTTTTACGGTGCTCGCAACTGCATCCGTCATATGAGAGCACGTCTTTTGTTGTCTATGTAGATCCTAATTGGAAGTGTACGAAGAACGAGGATTTGTTGTTGTTGTTGTTGTTGTTGCTATAGTGGTTGTAGTTTGGTGTTGTTGTTTGGTCTTGTTGTTCTTTGTTACTGTAGCTTTTCTTTGGTGTTGCTGTATACAATTTGTCAGGCTCTGATGTAATATAAAAGCAAATTCTTATTCAGCATGACTATCAGTTAATTCATTGTTTGCTGACTTCGATTCGAAGAAGGCCAGGGGACAATGGAAGAGGTGAAGCACTTTACGATTTTTGAGAGGCAAGCCCCTCCGAATTCTACGTCCGTCTCCGATAGGACTGGGCTTAGTAGAAGGAGAGCCTTGTAGTCTTCCCCGAACAATTCAAGGTCAAGAACGACCTACTGGGGATTTCAAACAAAGTCCGCTGCACTATAGGCTAGAATAATATTATTATCAGCCGAGCTGACACTGCCAATTTCAAGTGAAGTGTAGGCGGTTTGTGCTTGAGAAAGGAGTTGATTATGCTCCTGTCATGCCGCTACGTGTGTTAAGTAATTTCAGAGAGGTCTTGATTGTCAAAGGATTGAGCAAACTGTAGAGTGTAGCATATTGTGTGCAGTTTTATACATTATATTTTTATTCTTATAAAATAGTAGTTCTGTGGCGTGGCGCAGATCTGAGAACAAAACAGAGTCGAAAAAAATTGTCATTTGTTGGGTTGTTGGAATCTCTAAGTAGAACTGAGTTCCACTTGTCTACAGGTTCTTCATACAGAGCTGTTCAGCCACCAATTAAACAACAAAAGAGAAAAATGGTGTTTCGTTTTACCTTTTTTTATATGCAGGCCTAAGTCAAAGGTTTTTGTTGGTTTTCTCCATTCAAATTGAATGGACTGAGGCTTGGTCTCGTTTTAAAGTCTTCTTAAATATATTTACTTAGGATTTGCGGGACAGAAGCGTTTAAATATAGCCTTGCTGCGAAAGCTGGTGACGCAAAACGTAAGGTCAGAACGGATGCCATTGAAATACATATCGTCGCTGCCGCAAGTAATTCAATCAAGTCCAGATTTTAAGAATGTTTTTATATTCACACATATTCAAAGCTCTATCAAAGATGCACCATTAAACATCACCTAGCTGCAATTTAATGCTATGATCAAGACGTATACATGTTCAAGCTTTTAGTGATTCCTGATAGGAACAAGGCAAGAAAAACGTTTTTGTCTCATGTAAAAAGTACCCAAACGGACTTACTGAATTGCTTGCAACAACAACAAACTATACACAGGCTGACTGGAAAATATTGTTTTCTACATCATCTTTTCCAAAGTAATAACTTCAGGAACGCAAGCTTTGTATACTATGAAAGTTTAGGATGTTTACTACAAAATAATCTCAAGCAAAGTTCTTTCGTCTGCTTTCGTCTCCACTTTCTGCCCCCGTCCCTCACCTCCAATGCCCCCTCCTTTGGGCTCCTAGCTCTTTCTGCAACCTTTCTATTGCTACTCCTTGGCTCCTTCTTACTGCTGTCTTTCACCCACACCCCTGCTCTTATGGTAAGAAAGATCCACACCTAGCCTTCTCGGACAAGGGCGAAAAATCTCAGAGGTTCCGTGTGCAAGCTGCCCACGTTAAATATCCCTTAGTGGTCCGATATCCCTTAGTGGTCCAAAATTGATAAGAGTAGGCTTCGGCGCTACCCGCGCAAAATTCAAAATTTTCTACTAACTTGAAAATGATTAATGTGTCCTGCACTCTCACATAATCTTATTATGCAGGTACGAGCGTACCTAAAAAAAAATAAAGCCCCAAAATACTACTTTTATTTGTAAGCTTTTATGCTTTTTTGCTTTTCATTTGGAAGCCCTTTTTGTCTACTTAGATGTGAAATAATAATGTGTGTGTCACAGATCAAGCCTTCGCAAAATCTACTCAGTTCGCACTCTAGTTTTTGTCATAACGAATTATGTCTTTGCACGCTCAGTAAATATCACAGACCGAGGTACGTTCCCACTTCCTTGCCCTTTCTCCTCATTCTAAGACTGTGAGGCGTTGTCTCTACCTGAGTCTGTTTTGCTTTTTGCCTACCATGCAAAAACTGTTGGTTTGACTCTTGTGTGAACATATTTTAAAATGGCGAGGGTCTAATCTCCGTCTTTCTGCTGGCGTAGATCTTTTCATCGCCAGGAGATGACAATGATGGGACAGGTCGACAGACTCTCTCTCTCTCTCTCTCTCTCTCTCTCTCTCTCTCTCTCTCTCTCTCTCTCTCTCTCTCTCTCTCTCTCCCCCTCTCCCTCTCCCTCTCTATCTCTCTCTCTCTCTCGTGTCGGGCCCAGTACAGGCATTGGTCATCCTGCCCTCAGTCTTATTGTTCGTTCATGCTAAAAGTGTTGGGATGTCCTATTTCAAGGAGAATCTATCGTTTTTACGAAAATGGTCACCTTAGCCTGTCTCTACCTCTTACTTTCAAGCTCTCCGGGTATGACGAGATATCCAATACCCCTGTGAAGAGATGCATGTTTAAAAGATTGCATATTTTGTCTCTATCATTTTGCTTCAATAGGTTTTGTGGCATTTTCTTCTTATCCCAAGGCACATTCATCCTTCTTCTGATTGACCTCGTTCCCATTTTTTCCAATTTGCATTCTAGTTCTCTCTCTTGAGCTATTCTTAGGCGTTCCAAACCGTGTAACACATGGCCTTCCTCCTAAATTATGTAAGTTATATCAATGACGTGATGAAAAGGTTGTAGCGACATAGGAGTCTACCATCGTGTATTAACTGCTTGTTCTCTTTTTTAGGCACTTAAAATTAGAATTTCGACAGGATGATTCTTGTGTCTATGCTACCGATACCATAGAATTAGAAACTACTATTTCTACAAATTTAACATTTTGGACTTAATAGATTTGAACAGATGGCATTCAGTATAACAATATGTTACCAAGATAGATCGTCCATGCAAAACTGTGTGTCACTCTTCAACTATTAAAGACGTAGAACGCCCAGCTGGTTGACATTCAGTTGATGGAGGGATAGGTGTTGATGAGGGAGACAGAAGGGAAAGGTGTTGAAATGTGAGTGATAAGACTGGGCAAAGAAAAGAGGCGGAACGCCTTAAAAACTCAAACAACCCCAGTTTAAATATAACACACAAAAAACAACATGAATTCTGAGATTCCAACCAGTGTGATACCCACTGAGGTAACGGTGCATCCTCATAGAAATTAACATAAGTTCGTGCCCAATGAGTGTAAAGCATGCGTCATGCCGGAACTCGTATGCATGTTAGACCCATGTCCTTCTATCTGGTACACTATGTTTCAGCTCACGCAGAGGGTGCTCCATCAGTCCATGGCACGTGTATTCGATGGCTCATATTTGACACCGAACTAACCGCCCAAACTGAACAAACACATAACACCTTCCCTTTCATTTGCCACGAAGGAGTTGTTAACGAGTAAATAGATCTGTCCTACTTGACGGTATGAGTCTTCAAACAGAGACGATGTTTTGAAACACTTAGGATTACGGCCAGTATTGACCTAAGGCACATTTAAAACAAATTTGTCCCGAGCTTAATTGGCATTGTTTATCTTCATAATGTTACCTCGAAAATTTCAGAAAAATCTCAGGACTACTCAGATGACTCATTTTTCTTTTCCAGTTTACAATGTATCCTGTGCTAATAAGATAGGGCAGTTGTATTTGTTTATGTATTTTTTAAGATATAATATGCGAAGCAAACATTGTGATTACCAAATTGTGTCTCTGCAAATTTACTGATTGCAATCTCCTTAATCTGTTACTCAGAGACGATTGGTTATCTGAATTTACCTAATTTTCTCACCTGCCCTCTTCCTGTAATCAAATTTGTCAGTCCCCTTAAACGAATATCCTCTTAGGCAGGCTGTAGATTAACGTAATAGGCGTTGCGCTGGCTTTTCCCCGTAGAAAAGGGGTGGAGCGTAATACATGTAGATGTTTCAGAAAGGACGAGGAAAGGGCGAACATTTTCCCACCCGGATTTGAACAGCAAATGGCTGCATGTTGGTCGCGATTCCTACACCAGTTTTGAAGGAACAGTCCAAGCAGTTTTTAGTAGTAGTAGTAGTAGTAGTAGTAGTAGTAGTAGTAGTAGTAGTAGTAGTAGAGTAGTAGTAGTAGTAGTAGGAGGAGGAGGAGGAGAAGGAGGAGGAGGAGGAGCAGGAGGAGGAGGCTTAACATAAGTAACTAGTCAGGTGGCTAGATACGTTATGAACTGCAAGCTTTAAAGGCCGTCACCATGACACATTATTAATGAATTCAAAGCAAAAGAAAAACATTGAAACAGATGGACTGGCGGTGTCAAAGAGACTTCCAAGGAAGCGACTTGACGATCCCAAATTCAACCCACCTGGCCAACGTCCGACAACTGCATCTTCCCTCGATGTCGTGCAATACAAGAGGACAGAGAACCCCCCCCCCCCCCCCGCCTAAGTTCACTAAACTACACAAAATTGACCAGAGATGGCCAAAGTTTAGGCTTAAATTCAACATTTTTTAAATAAACGGATACAGTCCAGATAAAGTCAGCAAACTGAACTGTGGAGAAATTACTAACTTACAGCCCTTACGATTCCAACCAGATAAGACATTTCTTTGCGTCAGAACATTACTAATTATTGATCAAATGTACATCTAATCCATATCTAATAAGGATACAGCCGTTTAGGAAGAATCAAACAATACGAAAGCCTCTTTCCAATACTCGTGCCCAGCCAACGCCCCTGATCTTGGCAACTTTCTCATTTCTACAAAACCTTGTCAATTCCTCCAAATGACTCCATGACCCCGCATGAAAAAACTAACCTTGCAATAAACCCAGATGCAAACGATGACCATAAATTAAAGTAACCAGTTATGTTGAGGAAGAAAACATCGTTTAGAAATACTCTTCCTCACAGAATCACCTGTGAAACCCAAAAATGGTATATCTTATTCATGTAAAGTCTGCTCAGCCCAATATGTGGGCCGAACCAGCACTACCCATAGAGCAGGTATTGTTATTATTGTTATTATCTTATCAATATTATTACTACCATTATTATCACTATCATTACTAACCTAGGCTTTGTTGGAGCTACTGAATGATTAATGATAGAAAGAGTAGAAAAACGAAATCCTCAAGGGGAATGGTTTCAAACTGCTATTCGGCACCGTCCTTATTGTCAAGAGGACTTGTTATGAATCAGAGAAAATAAGAGGTGACAATCTATTCTTGCAGAATCGATTAAAATTCCAACCATGAGAGATTCCTGAACTCTCCTGTGCACTTTCCGTTATCCTCCTTAAACGAATTTTTTGATGTTTTTATGTTGTTGTTTTTTTCCTTAAAAAAATAAATTCACGTACATGTAATCTAGTATGACACTACTGTCTGTAACTTTAACTTAGCAAAACACAAAAGTGGAGGGGGTTGGGGGGGGGGGACTTCAATAACAGTCTCGGCCTTACAAGCAGAAAATATTTGTTGTTTGATTTTATTATTTTCCTCAATAAAGTAATATTCCATGATTGCAAGAAAATCATAGGAGGCCACATGGCTACAAAATGCAAACATGGGCCACTGTACAGTGTTGGAAAAAAAATATTGCTCTTGAAAGCATTCTCGCGCAAGATTTCAAGATGAATGATTTCAAGAAAAAAACGGGTACAATTAAAGTGACCCTAAACTCGCTTTGGTTCCCGACAGGCACGCAACTCTCCCTCCGAAGCTGTTAGCATTTGACAATGACCATACCACGGGCAACTGCTTCGACTTGTGAGAGTAGCCGACGGGTCCAAGAACCTCGGTATTTTTTTAAAGGGTTTGCCTCACCTGGTTACCCCACAGACGGGAAACGTCTAGTAACGACCCTGATATCTTTCCTTGTTTCTAATAGTGTTGTAGATATTTTCATCAGGTTCAAACACATAATGTCAGGAGACAGAGAGCGACACACACACACACACACACACACACACACACACACACACACACACACACACACACACACACACACACACACACACACACACACACACACACTCACACACACACACAGACAGACAGACAGACAGACAGACAGACAGACAGACAGACAGACAGACAGACAGACAGACAGACAGACAGACAGACAGACAGACAGACAGACAGACAGACAGACAGGCAGACAGACAGACAGACAGACAGACGAGGCCTGGTTTCAGCAGGGTTGGACCACATCCCAAAAGTGGTACTTGAACGGTTGCAAGGTTTGGGGACGGCCTTATAAGCCGAAAACTTACAAATGAAAGGTCACCGCATTCCCTCAACTAGAATCGAATTCTTGGGGATTTTTGTTGACAGTCTACGGAAACAAGTCAGAAACAATCGAAACGATTTAACTCAATGTTGAACAGAAGGTCGAAATAATAGACCCTGAAACATGCCCAAAAAATAATAAATTGTCCACACTTTGAGCATACAATTTAATGAGCAACCACCTTCCTATAGTTTATTTGGCTACGTCAGTTATATAATATAAATTTGTTCTACAATTCACTTATGATTGATTTCAAGTTTTGCGTGTAATTGTAAAAACTTAATCTTTTTCGAACACGCGGATTCATATTTTCATACACAACAATTCGACCTGCCCCTGATTGAATGTTATTTTTTCCAAGTTTTGTTCCAAGCCGAGTTGTTTTCCTTTAATTGGGTCCCCTTTTTTAAAGACACTCGGTATTACAAACAGTTACTCTTCACTTTTAGACGACGTATCTGTGGACTGCCCACCCTACTCCTCGTTTGCCCATTGAGGGTTTGACTCAAACGTAGGCCTGCGGCGTACTACATGTATCTCATCTAAGGGGAATAACACATATAAATAGCAGTACCTCGATTCAGGTTGAAAAATTTGCTTTGGTTTTCCCTCTCTGTCGTTTTCCGCTTTAGTTCCCTCCTTTCTTCCTTGTTCTTCCCTCCGTTCTTCCTTTTTCTTCCTTCCATTATCCTCCTTTCTGCATTCTTTAATGCTTCTCTCTTTTGTTCGTTTTTCTTTCTACTCCCCCTTTCTTGTTTTTTTCTTCCCTCTCCCTTCTTTCTGTTCATCTGGGTTTTTTTCCTTTCTGTTTTCTTGTTCTATTAGACCGTGGCTTTGAATTTACCAATGCGTTATGTCCAGACGACCTATGAAACCGCAAAAACTAAACAGGATATTGTTTTAGGCTACCCTGTTTAATACGGATTATGTATGTTAAGAAGCAGTATACGATGTTCAATTAATCTAAGAACGCTTATTTTGACCCATGACTTATTTTTATTTTCCCTATAAAAGTGTCGGCAAGGCATGAATGACTTGAATGAGAAACGTTCTCCGAGTTATACAAAAAGCCATAATAGTTTACGAAAATCATCTCGTGTTTTTCAGAGCCACAAGGAAAAAGTAACTTCACTTCGTAAGGACACGGGCAGGCAGACATGTCGTCGTTCTCAACGCATAATTTCGTTGCTATAGCAACGTTTGTCTGTTGGTTTTGTTGTCTCGCCACTGCTGCCCCCTTGACGAGCAAAGCCGCCTACTTGTTGAAACGTAACTCTCTCATTGAGGAAGATGCTTCGCGGAAACTTGGCGCTAAAATTGTACTGACCAATGAGGAGAAAGTGCTCGACGACTTCATCTTGGCGGTACGTTTAATTGTTTCTTTATTGACGTATGGAAAACGTTTGATAAAGCAATTTTAAAATATTTTCAGTTATTGTTTGTTGAAATGTTTGTTGATTTGTTCGCTTCTTGTTTTATCAGTTTAAAACTATATTTTGTTTAAGTATCTATTAATTGTTTTTTTTTTTCTTGTTTGGAAACAATGTGTAGTAAAGTAGATTTACTCCTCGGTCTGTTAAAATCTTCTTTTTTTTTGCTTTCCTTTTTGATCTCTGGCAAATTATTGATTGTTTTCTTGGTTTGTTTATAATTATGTTTGTTTATGTGTTTGTTTGATCAAGTCCATTTTCTGTTGTCTCATGTTGTAATAAGTAAACTGTAAATTATAACTAATTTTAAGAGCGCTG